CCCTCGAGTGGAACCAGGCCGAAAGGGAAGCGGCGAATGGGACGTCAGTGCAAGGGTAACATTGAGGAGGTGGTGTGAAGGGAAGTTGAAACAGTATGGTGAACTAACATGGATGCAGGTGAAAAGTACAGCAGAAGACAGAGGTGGCAAGTAAAGATGTGCAGTTGAAGCCCTATGTTCCACTAGGAACCCAAGGGAAAAATAAATATTCAGATCTTCCATATTTCTGGTATTTGCATTGAGTCATTCCTCTTGTACGTGTTGGGTGTAGACTCGATGAACGTCATCAGTTATTATTACTGTATAACACTGTGTGGTTTATCAAAATAAAGTCTTTTCCATAACAGCATTGGCGGCCTGTTTAAATGTTAGACTACTTATTCTTCGGATTTCATTCGTATTTATCAAAATATGACTTCAAACCGTATCACATATTCTCCAGAGTTCATAAAACGCTTAAAACTAAGTGACTTTCAAGGTTCTAAGAAAGCTAAGTAAAAGCATCATGGTAAATGGCATCGTGCTCTAAAACGGGTACCTTTATATCTAACTGCTGTCTCTGTGGTTAGTAAAAACTGCTGTTCTTTTACAAATAAGGTTATACATCTGCCATTTCTTCATTCACCTAATACTTAGCATAACACAGCTATAATCACACGACAAGAAACAGAGCTCCATCAGCTCTATGGTGATAATCTGGTCTGACTAAATGGTTGACTTTGTACCAAAAAGAAATGAGGAGCAGAAATTGCAGTTTTTATTCAAACAAAGTATGTTTTACATTCTCGAGTTACTTTATTGATTGAATTACTATCAAATGTCGTCCCAAACACTTGTTAAAGTTTAAATACACTTTCATCTCAAACATTTATATTACACCTGATTGTGCTGCTTCTTATCTTGAGAACTCTCTGTCATTAGTCACTGATGACTTCAATTCCTGAGACTGTTCCTTCCTTGAATCATTTAACCATTGTAAATATTGGCAACTTTGTCACTCAGCTTGACAAAACACTGGATTTATTGTTCACAAATGGTGTTGGAATATATGAAACACGCAAATGTCGTACTACCAAGTAGAAACTCAATAATACCATATCGATGGCCCATGTTCTATGTGATAGAGACAATGTTAAGCGTGAAACTTATGAATTATCACGTTGTTAACTGGACAATCGGCTCTTTTGATATCTTCCACTTGTGATCTATGGCGACACTATCTTGATTAACTGACGAAGTTAGCTACTAACCTTATTATTATTATTACTATTTACAATATGTATATATATACCCAGAGGTATTAGCAAAATTGATGACACCATCACTGAAGAAAGTGTGGAAAGAGGGAAAGGTACCAGCCGATTGGAAGAAACGCTACTTATTCAAACTGACAAAAAAAGGAGACTTAAGTCAATGTACGGACTGACGCGGCATTATGCTCCTGTCTATCCCAATACAAAATACTAAGTTGCATCATTCTGGAGAGAATTAAACCCATCCTGGATGAAAAACTCAGACAGGAACAGGCTAGATTCAGGAGAAACAAGTCAGGCATCGATCAAATTGCAACACTACGTATCATCATTTATCAGAGTTTGGAATGGCAGTAAGTTCTCTATCTCAGCTTCATTGGATTTGAATAGGCCTTCGATATCGCAGCATCTGTTGAGAGGTGATTTGGCAACTACTTCGCTACTACGGGGTGCCGCCAACAATTATACACCTCATCCAACAGTTGTACGACAATGCCGCGTGCCAAGTAATCCACAACGGGAAGCAAACAAAATAATTCGAAGTGAAGACGAGAGTATGACAAGCTGACTGCCTACCATCTCCAATGATTTTCCTGATTGCAGGCGATAGACTGGATAACCCGACAGACAGTGGGCAGCGAGGAAATAGGCATAAAATGGACCCACGCAAAATACTTGGATGATCTGGATTTCACCGATGTTATATGTATGATTTCTCACAAATTAGAAGATATACAAGTGAAAAGCAACAAGTTGGCGATAGAAGAAGCATCAAAGACAGGCCTTCAGGTGAACACAGAGGAAACAGAGGTAGGTGATGAAGATTCCTGGCCAACATCAACGGCAGCAACAACAGACAACAATCAGCATAAATGGGAGAAATTTGAAAGGTGCAACCTCCTTCACCTACCTACCTACCTACCTACCTACCTGGGAAGCATCGTTTCAACTGCAGGCGGACAGAACTGATGAGAATATCTAAGCATTCAGTGTCGGGAAAGTAAAACAAGCTTTCATTTCTCCCAAGTCTATGTGGAGACCAACACTCAGCAGTCAGCATGCAAAGTGAGATCCGGATTTTCAACTCCTATGTGAATTCAACCATTGTTACTATACGGATCAGAGACTTGGCGTTGCTTCACGAAGGGCACTTAGAACAAACTACACACCCTCATCAACAGCTGGCTGTCTTCGCTCAATACTACTCAATACTCTTCGCTCATTACCAGGTGTGCAAAAAATATGCAGGAAGAAATAGAAGTGGATTGGCAATACTCTGAGAAAACAAACCATCAAGTGAGTTAGTGACATCACACACCAGTCCATTGCTCGAGTGGAACCCGACTGAATGGTAATCGAAGTGTTAGTTGTCAGTGCAAGTGTGACATGGAGGAGGTGATGCGAAGAGGAGATGAAAACATGTGGGCAGACGTAAAGCCATGCGAACACGTTGGCGGAGAACGGAATGCAATGGAGAGGTAAGGCTAGAGTACTATGTTCCCCTAGGAACTAGAGGGAACAATGTTTATATATATATATATATATATATATATATATATATATATATATATATATATATATATATATATATATATATATATATATGACTTCACTGTCACTACTAATACCAAATGAGAACTGTCATTAACCATCCTGTGATATCTGTATAATTTTTTAAAATATTATTCGATAAAATTACATTACATTACAGTCATGTTGTACCAGTTGGTGAAAATTCCATACTGTAACACCATAACTGTTTTGGAATAAAGGAAATCATAATAAATAATAATATAATAATTTTTCCTTCACGTTCCCCAGTGGAACATAGGGCTTCGAGCTAGTAGCTTGAAGTTTCTGTAGCAGAGTTTATGGCAAAGTTTAAGAATGGAGTCCCAAGAGATGCGAACGCACAATGACCTTGAGTCGACCAATCAGAAAATAGGAGGAATTTTGCATAAAATTTAACGTATATTTACACAAAAATGCATGAAAAAAAACATTAAACGGATTATATTTCTCTGATATGACTTAAAAATACGTTCCAGTTACGATGAAGAGTATCAGTTGCTAATTTGGACTAGTTTCTGTAGATGTATTCACTAAAGAGACTGAAGGTGTGCTGTGTTGAGAATGGTTCATCTCTCTTCTCTTGCTGTGTAGTCCTCTCCTCAGCCCTCGGTTTCGTTACTATGGTTCCAGTAAGAGCATTGGCGACTACATACAAGGGAAATAAGGATAACAAAAGAACTTGAAATAAACGAAAAATCTATTCCTAATCGCTACCCTAAACCTAACCCTAACCCTAACCATTGTGCCACCGACGCACACAATGACCGTAACCCTAACCACAATACTCGCCTTAACCCCTATCCTAACCCTAACGAGATGTTGACACATTGTCCAGACAGTAATAGAAGTGTTATCTGGGTGAAACGTGCTCCTTATTTGATGAATAGGGTTGATATTTCAGCTGTGATAATGACAGGAGCCGTTAGCCAACGACTAGCATGCGTTCAAGGTCATTTGAGCGTTGAAGGTTTTGGGACGCTATTCTTAAAATTAGCCGAGTTTATTTTACAGGATGGGGTTGCTGGCCTCATCCCCAACCTTTGCTCTTTACCAGAATTATTTCTGGCTTAGAGAGGTAAAGGTGTGCGTCGGCCGGGGATCGAACCCCGGACTATGTGCATGGTCGGCGAGCGTCCTAACCACTATACCACCGACGCAAATCGCGGTCACTATCAATATTATTATTATTATTATTATTAATACCGTAAATGTGAGTACTCCTTGCCCACTCTTTCTTCTCTTTTTTCTCTTCTAAATGTCCAAGTGGAAATTTTCGTCTTATAGTGGCTTCTATCTTTGTATTTTATTTTATTGGTTGGAGGATTTCATCATGAGCTAACACATCAGTTAAAGAAAAACCATTGAAAAACCATCTAGGAGTATTTGTTCTCTAAGTGATATCAGCTCATAATGAAATCCTCCGCCTAATATCAAACAAAACCCCGACAAAACCAATACTTGAAAATTGAACTGATGCTCACTAGTGACTAGCCCTAAGCAGACGCTTACCTGGAGTTCTATTGAGAAGCTGTGACCACCAGGATGCAGAACATTGGGGGTGAGGCAGTAACTCATAAAAAGAAGACATTGCAAAGTGGTTGTGCTATGTCATGAATTGGCAGAAGTTAAAATTCATGGGCTGGCCACAGGATCCGGTCCCAGTGAATGACTTTATGGTATACAAATTCGCTAGCCTTGTGACCAGAATGTCCTGCGTTCGACCCTGTAGTGTGGATGGATACTGATGAAGAGGAGTCCCAAACTAGGCTGACGAAACAGCTGTCCAGTACTCTCTGACTTGTTTATCAATGGTTCTATAATACCAAGTCAATTCATCATGGAATCCTTGAACCAATCAGACAAACATATATCCCTTCAAAAATCAATACTTGAATATTTTATTTTATTCAAAACTTTAGAAATGAATTAGTTTCTCTCTCACACACACACACACACAAACAAACACACATACACTATACGTATATTTGTATTTACAATGATACTTTGAGGAAAGAGCAATGAATACAGTTTTTTTTAAACACACTTGCACTGTAGCTTCACGAAAACAAAATTGGTAAATAGAAATGCAAAAGAGATGAAAGAAAACTCAATGAATGAAATACGACTACAATTTACATCGCCGCCTTTTTCTTGTCGTCTTCTTTAATTTGCATGTTACTTTGCTTTATTGTCTTTTGCATACATTTCTCTGGTTCTTTTCAAATCAATTTCTTCCATTTCCCGAATCAACTATAGTGTTGAAAAACACATGAATTAAAACAAAAAAAATAGAAAAGAAATGAAAAGTTTGATTAGAGTGATATTTAATTTAACTTTGTGTGATGATAAAATACTTTACTCTACTTTACTTTACGTTGGCCGTACCATGCGTCAACTTGAAAAACGCGCTCGTGAACACTATCCAGCCTGGCTAGTAGAAGGAGAACGAAAACGGGTAAATAGTTCGGTGACAGAACATCTGGTTAATTCAGGACATTCAGCGCCACTCGAAAAATCCTTCAAAATCATGTACAAGATTCGATCAAACCTATCAAAGGGAGTAAAATCAAGACATCTGAGCATAGCCGAGGCGCTAGCTATACAAAAGCTCAAACCAACGCTTTGTATACAAAAGAAATACGTCCAACCCCTGTCCTTGCCATGGCCATCATAAACAGGTAATTTTTAGTAATGACCATCCCATCTCCTTTCTCATCTAAAATTCCTGTTTATTCATGTTATTTTAAGCTTTTCTTAATCCCTGTTTACACTACCATATTTTCATACCCGAACTTAGTGTTTATTTTTTCATTTTACTATTTCTACATATTTAATCCCTGATTGCATAAACAATTAATCGTCACATTAGTTTTTTGATCCAAACATCCTGTCTATTTTGTTATTTCTACATTTCTAACCCCTAATTGCACAGTGTCAATCATCTTAGTTATTATGATGCTACTTTGTTTGTTTTATCCATCCCCCTGTTTATTATGGCATTCTAATTCCTAACTTTTATTTTTATTGATTTGACCCTTGACCGGATATTATTCTGGAACTTTCCCACCCATCCATTTGATATAAATACACGAATGTACAGCTTAGATGATGAAATCGTCGGAAAGAAAATTTTCTTCGCTGCAATTATCTTCTTAATAACTCCTATAACCCAATGTGTATATTCAAAAATAAAAACTAAAAAAAAAAGAAACATTTAGAAAAAAATTCGACAGATTAAGCGAAGAAATATCCCTTCCTTTTCCAATGGTTCTCTAATCGATGTCATCTGATGACGAAATCCTATTGTAACTACAGAGGACAAGGGCCAGAGAACAGATCGGTTATTGAGAAAATCAAGAGATTGAGACGTGCATTATTGTTAGCGTTATTGTTAGCAGAGAAGCAACGTCTTCTGATTTTGGTTGTTTTCTTGCTTAAGATTATTCTGCCATCTCTTTGTGACCGTCTGTCAAAAAGTTAAGCCATATATCTGCGAATCGTATTTGCACACGTTAAGTCTGATGTGATTTGGTTGGTGACCCTGATTCGGGACGTAAATATTGACGTAAATTGTTGGCTACAATTTTTGGCTTGCAGCCGACTCTCACCGCAATGTAACCAATCAAATGAAATCCCTAACAACCAGTACTCATATATCCCGTTTCAATTAATTCCTCATCATCCCATGGTTCTACACTCATATATGGTTTCTTTACATCAGAATTTTACCAAAAGTGATTTGGTTAGATGTCCAGTTCACCGAGCTAGAGTTCTCTGTTCTAATGAGACAATGAACAAAGAACTTGGTAATGTTCATGGTATACTAAGTAGAAAAGTATATCCGATTAAATTCTTGAACAAACACATGAACTTGACAAGTAAACGGTTGAAGATGTCCATAGTTCCCGAAAACATCTGTCTTCCTACGATTGCAATACACGAGTGATGTCAGTAGTGCAAATGTCATCACAGATTTTGAAAAGGGACTTCAAAAAGACATTCAGCGCACCTAAACTAATACTCAGTTCATGACATAAGCACAAACTAACCTGCTTCGTCTTTTTTAAGGTTTATTTACCAGTTTAACTGCTCGTGTGGAGCTAATTACGATCAGGCAAGTTCATGGTCGAATTTCTGAACACCTTTCATCTCGGTATGACAAAGATCCTAACAAAATTACTACACGCAGCTCAATACTAATTCATCTCGACTATACTGGATATCAGATCAACTGTTGTTTATCGTATATCACCCAACCTTTCGCCTCATAGTCTATGAGTACGATTTTTGCAGGCAATATCAGATGCAATCAAAATTCATCTGAAAAAGCCAAATCTATGAGCGTTCAAAAGAAATTTGTGGAGCCCCTTTCTTTGCTATGGCCAACTACATAATATATATTAAGTTTTTAAAAACTATATTTCCCCTCCCCTATCTTCTGACTTTGTTATTTTATTATGTTCACAATTCTAGGTAATTCTACTAACTTGATTATATTTCATGTAATTCCTCTGAGTCATCCTATTCTTCTTCGACATCATTATTTTACAAATTTCCCGATTATGTAATAACTTGTCGTTCACTCCCATGGATGAACTTTTCTTGAATTCCGATATCGTCTTATTAACATGTATTAGTTAATTTGAAAGAAGAGAACAAGAAGTTCAGCAAAGATGGCGATCTTTTCGGCGATTTCATTCTCAAAAGCAGCTGTACAATCGCATTTATATGGATTAGTTGGTTACATGGATACAATTATTATTTGTTTAATTAATTCCACATAGTAACGAAGGTGATAATAATTTTCAACTTGATATGATAGTTTGAAGGTACGAATATAGATTACAAGGGGCTTGGAGACAAGATTTCATAGGATTAGAAAATAGTTACAACGTATGCAAAAAAAATTTAAAAAACAATTAAATGGAGAAATCTAATATAAACGTCGGAGTACCAATATCATATCTGAGGGAATTGTTGCTGAGATGCACGCTGGAGGAGGCACCGGTTCAATCAGAAGTGCCATTATTGAGCATCTGGTCAACACCTCCCACAAAATTTCAACCGATTCTTTCAAAGTGATTTACAAAGTCAACAGAAACCTACCAAGAGCAATATGTTTCCGACTTCTTTGTACTGCAGAAGCCCTCGCAATATGCATCGAGAAGCCGGAGCTGTGTGTTCAAAAGAAGTTAGTCCAACCTCTACAACTACCATGGACCTAGCTTGGTATGTTCCCTTTGTTTCCGTCTTTTTTCTCTCTCTCTTCCTCGTCTGTTTTCGTTCTCGTTTTTTCCTTTAGAGCATTTTTCGTTTGCTGTGTGTCTGATTCTTAGTCCCTCAATCTTCGTTTAATCCACCTAATTTTTTTTCAGCGGTAAAAACAGTTATTTTAAGTTTGTTTCCATGCTTTTCCCTGTTCACATTTATAATTCGTTTGAAATAACTATTTTACAATTATATCTTAATCCTGTGCAATTTTTATGTTTCTAAGGCTTTTGTAATCTATATTCACACGTCCTAACTTTCATTTCAGGCTCAAATTATTTTTTCAGTTATAAAACTAGTTATTCTAATTTTGTTTCCATACTCCTCCTGATCACACTTGTAATCCGTTTGGAATAACCATTTTACAATTATATTCTAATCCTGTGTAATTTTTCGTTTCCATGCCTCTTGTAATCTACATTCACACACACACCTCCTAACTAACATGTCAAGTTGAAAATTTTTGATTTCAATTTGTTTCCATGCTCATTTTGTTCACACCTGTAGTTCGTCCTATCTCTGCGTTTCTAAGCCTCTAGTAATTCATATCAAGTCGAAAATAATTATCACCTTTGATTCGCCTTTAAAATTATTATTTCTGCAGTTATCAAATATTAATTTTTTTTGCATACGTTGTAACTATTTTATAATCCTATGAAATCTTGTCTCCAAGCCCCTTGTAATCTATATTCATACCTTCAAACTATCATATCAAGTTGAAAATTATTATCACCTTCGTTACTATGTGAAATTAAACAAATAATAATTGTATCCATGTGAAATAATCTATATAAATGCGATTGTACAGCTGCTTTTGAGAATGAAATCGCGGAAAAGATCGCCATCTTTGCTGAACTTCTTGTTCTCTTCTTTCAAATATCCATATGGGTATTAGTTAATTGTTTTGATGACTTTTAACCTGTTAATTTCACCCTCCTATACCTAAAACCCATGAACTAAAATAACCATTTTGATTTTTAAAATTTTGATGTAAAGAAACTTTATATTAGTGCAGAGGCAACGGCTAGTAAGGAACTAATTGAAAATTATTATTATTATTCCCTTGAGATCCGACTGGAGCATAGGGCTTTAACAACACATCTCCACTTTGTCCTGTATTCTGCCTTTCTCTTCAGATTGGACTAGACTGCACACAATCTCTCATCTCCCCCTCGTCGCACGATCTCCTCACATGTCACTCATCGCTTCCTATCGGAATTCCACTCACTTGGCGTCATTCGACGATCTCCTCAGTGGTGTGTGTGTGTGTGCCTAATCCATCTCTATTTCCTCCTACATATTTGTTAAGCAGTCGGCTCCCAGAGTTCCTTGTTACTAATTATTTCTGGCTCGCTGGCTGGCTGGCCATTTCATCGTCATTATGGAACCAAAGAAGGCAGTTGTTGATAGAAGTCTCCAACAATCTGTTGGAAATTCTTTTTCATTACACGCGGCACAAGTTTCTAACCCGTATAGAAGGACTGACTTGACATTGGTGTCAAAAATCCCAATCTTGTTCCTTGTGCTGGCTCAATGAGAGCAGAAGACTTACAAACTGGTTTCAGGTTGATGAAGGTGTATCTTGCCTTTCCGATTCTGACTGACCTTGACATCTTTATCCGTTCCGATTGTCAGGAAGTAACCTTATTCAAATCTCTCCCTTCGATTGTGATTGGTGCTGGTTGTCGTTGTTGTTGTTGTTGTTATCGCTGCGGTCCGTTGGTTATCTCTTGCAAGTCTTTGAGTTTGTGTGACATTAGAAATATATCATCCACAAGCGAATTTCAGATCTCTTAGAGTCTTTTTACCGATTCAAAGTATTCCTGTCTCCTCACTTCCAAAGCACAGTCTGACGTGTAATCTGCTCCATCACAATTAAGGACATCATCGGTGATAATAGACAGTCAGCTTGTGTTACTCCTGTGTCCAGTTTGAACGCCTCACTGAGTTTTCTGTTATGAATCACCTGACATGTGGTACTGTCGTATAGCCAACTGTTGAATGAGATCGATAAAGACTTGGGTACTGAACGCTGAAGTGTTAAAGTAGTTCCTAAATTACATCTCATTCAATGCTGTTGAAGGCCTTTTCGAATTTCTAATTAAATTAGGAATGCATATTTCTTCTCTTAGTCTGTTGGTTTTTTCTGAATGCGTATATAGGAATTCGCAAATCAAAGAAACTTTTGTTTATTGTAAAAAAACTCAGTTTTATCCTTCGATTTGCAGACTGTATGCACTGAACTGATTGACTTTTAACCTGAAGTTCTTCATAGACAGAAACCAACCATCTGGAGTATCAGTGTCAACCAAGTTTGTTTCCTCAAACATCTGAGGCTCAACACTTCCATGGTAACCTGATATCCTTACCTTTCTGTCTCTTATTTGATTACGTAATCTCTGACTTCAATCTTTTGGAGTGCTCGGTACATATAGGCAATTTATTTGTTACCCGTTAGATGATAGAAACAGATTCTCCAATGTTAGCTTTATTGCCTGTTTGCTCCAGATGCGTTAAATTGAAACAATTAATATTAAGATATGTGTAAAACTTGGGTACTGTGTTAGTAAGTAATTTCATATTAGTTTGTTTATTAAATGTATCACACAGTGAGTGAAACAGTGGAGGGAGAGATCGACAACAGACATGTCAAATACATAGATGGGTCAAACTAGTAGAACAGAGGCAGTCAGTCAGACTAGCCGAACATAAAAACCTAGCAGCTAAATCTACATTAGTTGACCTGAATAAGATGAGAAATCTGGAGAATAGTTCAGCTATAGCACTCACTCCATGCAATTACACACAACCATAGAATACGACAGGATGGGATAAGATGACAGTTTTAAAATCTAAAGTAACAAAAGGGTGGAGGGAGAGACTGATAACTGACTGAAGCTTTGTATATCGAATCAACTGCAAACCAACACGTGTAATAGGTAGGAATGATTCAACACCTGTCCACGCAGATTTCTGGAAAATTCTGCCACCCCAGCGACAACAAATAGGAGAGAACAAAGAAAACTATAAAACTCAAGTTTCGAAGTTGTGTGATTATAATTGACGATGTGATTATGAACAATAAATTTTGTTCTAAACCTTGTCATCCAGTAAATAAAACATCTAATAAACATACTAATATGAAACAATTAATAGTTTTGACTACACTTTTATTTAACCACACACAAGTAGGTGTTCGCGAGCGCGAAAAATTAAGTTCCTGGAGCCACAGCCAGTATTAGGTACGGAATAAATACATTCAATGATTAATCTCTTGTAGAAGTCAAGGCTAATGCCAGTCCCTGGATTTATTCACTTTTGAAGAATGGTAACGTCATTAAATCACTTAATTAAATCTTTGAATAACCAAGAAGATTGATTATAATGTTAGCTGACATTTAAAAAAAGAGCGATGCTTCATCACTGGCATTAAAATATGTGGATATGAACAACTACAGACATTGAGCTGATCTATGGAATAGACTCAGAGAGTGTAGAGCAATTCTTGAAAGAATGGATCTTCATTGAAGTAACTCTGGACCAATAAACTTACGAATCACCAAGAAGTATTCCACCTACTAATCAAAAAAGTCAATATGTGACAAGTAAATTATAATCATCCACAATCTATTAGTGTTTAAAATTGACGAATAATTTGTAAAACTTGAGAATATTTCACTTGTATATAGTAGCTAGGCACTGATTACTTGTCTAGTATGACAATCGAACGTCCATAACCAAATATGATGATCTGTCACCAAAGAATTATTCTACCCATTTCGCATCACTAGCATTCTTTAATATATTAAAGAGTATTTTATGAGTGTTATAAGGTTATCCAAAAAGATTTACTGCCACGAGTTGAATGCTTCCACAATTCATGACGATAATTAATCATGTTTGATTGTTGACGTTTTTGTGCCAACGCAGGTAACTTCATCAGGAATTGATTTACAAAGACAAATCAGGTATTCCCAAGTTACACCAATATTTGATCCAGTAACCGGCAGATGTCACACAAGCTCAAAGACTTGCAGGCGGAAACCAGAAAACTGGTTGAAAAAGCAGGCAGAGAAGAAAGGACTTCAGGGGAACTTAGGGTGATACAAAAATCAGCATCAATCACCATCAACAGGAGAGATTTGAAAGGGGTTACTTCCTAGCTTCACCTATCTAGGGAGCACAATTTCAGCCACAGACAGTCGGAATGGATGAAGACGTCAACACCAACTAGACAGAATCGGAAAGATAAGATACACCTTCATCAACCTGAAACCAGTTTGGAAATTTTCAGCATAAAGAACGAGATCCGGATTTTCAATACAAATGTGAAGTCAGTCAGCCAGTTCTTCTATGCGGGTTGGAAAATCTGACTGCATGTCACGAAAAGCATTTTCAAAAAGTTGCAGACTTTTATGAATAGCTGCCTTCGCCGGCTGGATCCATACTGAAGAATAAATGGTCAGTCGGTCAGAAAGAATTAGCAGCAAGAAACTCCGCAGTGGACAAACCAATTAAGAGACAAACGCTCAACAGATAAACCGAAGAAAATGGAGATGTATCGGGCATACATTGAGAAGACCGTCGAATGACATCGTGCGCAAATCAGGCCATTGATCGAGTGGATCCCCGATGGGAAGCGACGAGTGGGTCATCCATGCGAGGGCGACATGGACGATATCGTGTGGCGATGAGGAGGAGTGTGGTGAGAGCAGGCCGTGAGAAAATATGAGCAAGGCTGATTCGACAACCAATCACAGCAAAGTTAACGTGGCAAAATATGATTCGCAGATAGAGAACTCTATTTGTCGAGGAATCCCGAAACAACCAATCAGAAGCCTGCGTTTGTCTGCCTAACTTCTGATAAACAACCAATCAGATGATTGCGCTTGTCTACTTGCATAAGCTGTAATAATGTATGTGAAATATGTATAAATACGTGTTGATTTTCATAATAAAACGATCTGTTGCCTGGCCCTTGTCTTCTGTTGTTACAGGAGGAGGAGATCTTCAGTCGTGGACCCAGTTGAAGGGGATGACAGAAAATAGAAGTAAATGGAGGTGTGTTGTTGAAGCCCTATATTCCACTTGGAATTCAAAGGAATAATAATGATAATGATTTGGCATAAAGTTAGCCGTTTACACAGTTCGGGGTGGTTGTTTCAACAACATGTCTCCTTTGGGGATCGAGATTATTCAGATCATAAAGTGTGTGATCTTCTTGACGCCAAATGTGAAATATAAGAAACCAAGAATAATTGCAGAAGCAATTGTTAATCTTTCCTCGTCCTGATAACCTGATGTCTCTAAACACCAGCTTCGATTTGGTTATGCAGTCTTTAGCTTTAAGTTCTTTCTTCTACCTCTGGTTATAATTCACTTATGTTTGTCTTTTGTTTTTCTTTTGGTTTAAGTTGATGTACTCATCACTTGAGATGATTATAAGTGGCAATAATTTGTGCTTAAAACGTGGTCATCAGTTAATATTATTGTATAACTACACTACATGATTTATCAAAATAAAATCTTATTCATAATGGAGTTATCCTGTACCACAGTGCCCAAGTTTTATACTTATATTAACTTAGTATTAGTTGCTCAAAATCTTCTTATTCACCTTTTATCTTGATTACACAACTTCTTTTCGATTGTGTCCAAACTATTATCAACTTTCAGAATTTCATCATGAGCTGACATTAGTTAGAGAACCATTGGAAAATCTGGGAGTACTGGACAGCTGTTTCGTCCTAGTTTGGGACTCTTCAGCAATACGCACCCACCGGGATTCGAACCCAGGACCTTCCGGTTACAACGCGAGCTAGCTCGTATACTATTAAGCCACTGGGACCCGATCCAATGGTCCTTGAATTCTAACTTCTGCCAATTCACGACATAGCGCAACCGCTAGCCAATGTCTTCGGCGAGTATTTGTCCTCACACCCAAATATATATATATATGTATATATATAACAAGTTAGCAGAAGAAACATACGGAGAAGATAGGACTTCAGGTCAACATAGAGGAAACAGAGGTGATGATGAAGATTCCTGGGCAACAGCAACAGCAACAACAACAGACAAAAATCAATATAAATGGGAGAAATCTGGATGAGACAACCTTCTTCACCTACCTACCTACCTATCTATCTATCTACTCGGGAAACAGCGTTTCAAATACAGGCGGATGGAACTGATGAAGATATCAAAGCAGCGAGTGTCACAAAAGCAAGGCAAGCTTTCATTACTCTCATCGAGTCTGTATGAAGATCAACAACACTCAGCATCAAAAATACGATCCGGATTTTTGAACTCCAATGTGAAATCAGTCAGTATTCCTATGCGGATCACAGGCTTGACGCCGCACCGCGTCACGAAGTCTACTTTGAACAAACTACACACTATCATCAACAGTCAGCTATCTTCGCTCGATACTATTGAAGATAAGATGGCCGGTCAGAAAAAAAAATCAGAAACAGGGATATTTGGCAGTGAATGAACCAACACCCACCAGAAACCGATGGTGCAACAAAATATGCAAGAAGAATTGGAGGTATGTTGTTATCTTGTATATAACCATTATGTGCGTCGGTGGCTCAGTGGTTAGGACCCTCGCCGACCATGCACATGGTCCGGGGTTCGAGCCCACGCCGGCGCACATCTGATATCTATGGTCGGCCTGCAAAATTTGGGCTACCGATATCACATGCTGAAAATTCCATACTTGTACCAAAATACGGTGTGGAATCAAGCTGTAAATCAAAAATAAAAAAAATAAATAAAGAATAAAAAGTAAAACTGACTACACTTCGACTTACTTGTGATATTTCTGTCTCAATGGTGGTTCGATATTCTTTCACCCGTCCAAGGTTTTCCATTTGTGCTAAGAATTCACGTCTTTCATTGACTTCATCCATTACTGATTAGTATACAAAGGTGAAAATCAAAATAATGAAATTCATTTTATTTCTAAAAGTTTGTTTGATAGAAAAAGTGAAGGGAAATTCGCATGTGTAAAAATTATATTTGTAAAATCTCAGCGAAATTGAAATGAATAATTCCAACGTTTCCTGTGTACGTGTACTTTTATCAGGGTTTTAGTGATTACGCTCGACTAAATGTTCATGGTCGTAGATACTTGAATATGAAAATATGTATACAGGTATATGCGATATAAAATGGTGTGTGTCCGTGTGCATGTGTGTATGCGGCAGCAGCTGTAAATTATCTGTTAGTGTCTCCATAAGAAGACAGAGACAATCGGAAACTTACGATTTAACTGGCGAATGATGACTATCAGTGGAATCCAGGACAAGGCGCATTTCGTCCTGCTTTTGGACTCGTCATCTGAATGTGCCTGCATTTCCCACTGAGTGATGATGTTCCCACCGAGGCTGGAAACTAGTTTCCATAGTTTCAAACACCAGCCAAAGCGTTATCCACTAGACGACTTGGACGACGAGAGCCACCTCTTGTGCGAGGGGTCATGTTAATTATTTAATTGAATTTTAGATTTTCCGACGATTGATTGGACCGAAGTGTTCGGTCTCAGGTTGACATGTCGGCTTCTTGTGCAGATGCTTCGACGATATTTGAACATGGATAACGCTTTGGTGTTTGAAACTGCGGGCACTGCGTTCGAACCTTGGTGGGGACATCATCACTCACTGGGCAATGCAGGTATATCCAGCTGACGGACGAGTTACAAATAGGACGAAATGCGTGTTATCCTGGATTCCACTGCTAGCCACCATCCACCAATTGTATACTAATTAAATGCCCAGACATCGTGGAAGCATCTGCACAAGAAACCAACATGTCAACCTGAGACCAAGCACTTCGATCCAATCAATTGACCGGAAAATCTAAAATTCAATTAAATAAATCGGAAACTTAGATTAAGTATGATTAATTAGTGATACATATCCATTTTTATCTATTAATCAGGATTTGCCATGCATCGTCAGCTAACATTACACCTTCACGTCTGTTCAAACCGTTAGTACTTAGAATTTTATAATTGGACGTATTTTCAAAACCATGGTGTTTAGGATCACAGTTTAGTTGAAACAGCCCGTCGAACTTATTGATTTATCTTCTTTTTGAAGATTGAAGATAAAATTTTTCTTTCGACTTAAAATATGTATCGTTAATGAGAGTCTTCAATTCTGTTGTAATCAAAACATATAAGATTTCATTAAAAATTTTGGAAATCTGCATTCGACATAATTCCATATTTTTGGTTGCTCTATGAACGTGTTTTCGTACAAACGTTATAGCTGTCAAATGAGCTGCTTTAATCAACCTGCTTCAGTTTACAGTTGACTTAACAGCTGAGGATCTAGGATATACATTCCGCCACATGCAATGGAGATTGAAAAAACACGATGATTGTAGAAATCACCTAGATATAAATTGTTGTTTACAATTTTGTCTTGCAGACAGCTCTCATCACAGAATTAGTATAATATTGTCCACAGGGGGAACTCATTATTTTAATCAACGGACACCAGTCAATCCACTTTTAGATACCAATAACAGAAAAAGTCGAAAAAACATATTGATACCAGCTGAATAATTAAGGACTATTGCATTTCATAAATGTGGTGAATACTTTTCTGGGGTTTTATACGAAAGATGCCGTAGTAGGTTCTGAAAAGGAAAATTCATACCCACTAGGTTTCAGATAGCACTGTATGATAAATCACAAATCGGTCAAGACGCGCATTTTGAAACAGACTACTAAACATAATGAAAACTAAATAAGTAAAGAGAATCCAGAACCTTCTGGTTAAAAAGTTAGAGAATTCGTAAACCATTAAGTCACTGGGACCCAATCCAATGGCCAACCAGTCCATGAATTCTAACTTCTGCTAATTCATGACATAGCGCGACCACTTCGAAATGTCTTCTTTGATGAGTTACTGCCTCACCTTCAACCTGCTGTACCCTACTAGTCACGGCTTCCCAACAGAATTCATGGGCCATTGGATCGGGTCCCAATGACTTAACGGTCTACGATCTCACCAGCCTTGTGACCAGAGGGTCCTGTGTTCAAACCCTGCATGTGAGTACATACTGATGAAGATGGTGGTTTTTGCAATGGTTCTCTAACTGATGTCAGCTCATGATGAAATCCTCCAATCAATCAGTCAAACAAAATACCAACAAAACCGATACATGAAAATGTAGAGAAATAGCAAATAATCCTACATCAAATGAACACTTTGAGCAATTAACGTATAACTTACATTCTTCAAATCTATCCTTACAGTTTTCAGATTGGTTATCACAGCCATCACCATCACCATCATCATCTCCGGTGACTTTCGGATACTTCAATATACGTCGACTCAAATATTCTAATCTCCCATCTTTAATTTGATCATTTTTCAATGATTTCACTGTTGGTTCTTCACCATACGTCATTAAATGGGCTAAACGTAGTTTTTCAGAAGGACCTGTATTCAGCCCAACTAGGAGAGAAAATCAATATAACTCAGTTACATAAATTACAGTCATTTAAACACAAATGATAAGCTCTACGACATTGATAGAATTGAAAACTCCTTGGTAACTATGGAAACCTTGGAAAGTTTTGCAGCAAAAAGAAGAATTATTAATGGTGGGTAAAAGATAGAGATTATTTGTATTTATTTTTTTATTTTATTTTATTTTTTTATTTTTGATTACAGCTTGATTCCACAGCATATATTTGGTACAAGTATGGAATTTTCAGCATGTGATATTGGTAGCCCAAATTTTGCAGGCCGACCATAGATATCAGGTGTGCGTCGGTGAGGGCTCGAACCCCGGACCATGTGCATGGTCGACGAGAATACTAACCACTGTGCCACCGACGCACAGTGGTTATCCCAAAAGCACTATATTTCAGTTTTATTGCTCTTGTGGTGCTGAGTAAATCAGCTGTGTCATCATATGTCTGCTAAGAAAATTCGTTTTTGAACACTATCCAACCTGGTTAACAAAGGAAGAATACAGGTGTGTCTTTGGTACACTATCAAGACACTATTTGAGACCAAGTTTTTCAGCTCCACTCGAAAATCCTTCAAAATTTTATGCAATATCCAATCAAGTTTCTCAGAAGGAGTGACATCAAAATATTTGGGCATAGTAGACGCATTAGTGATGCAAAGATTGAATAAAACGCTATTTATCTGAAAGAATTACATTCATCAGCAAGGCGTATAAGCAACCTCGAAAGAACGCATATACCTTCTGAGAATAGAACCCGCGGTGTCACACATTACCGCAGTCGCAGATGTTGCCACTGAGCTATTCGGGCTCGTGACTGACCTCCTGTAGGACTGTATTGGATATTTTTGACTGTACACTAGTCAGTAACTAGTGTAATGTGTTTAGTCCTATCTTCGGTGCAGATGAATTCTATCAGTCAAGCTTGCAATGTAGACACCATCACAGTGCACTGTGAATTGTTGGTGTTAGATGGTTGCGGGCAATCGACAGAAAGCCTCGCCTGACCTAGGTTTCGCGTTACTTGGCAATCATCAGGACCGAAGATAAGACTAGACACATTACACTAGTTACTGACTAGTGTACAGTCAAAAATATCCAATACAGTCCTACAAGAGATCAGTCACGAGCCCGAATAGCTCAGTGGTAACGTCTCTGACTACAGCACTCACTGGGTGACGCCGCGGGTTTGAATCTCAGAAGGGACATGAGTTCCTTCGAGTTTGCAGATACGCCTTGCTGACCGGTGAGTGCCAACTAACACGAAACCTAGGTTTAAGGCTGGACTTCTTATCGATTGCCTCCAACCATCTAATACCAAAAATTCACAGTGCACTGTGATGCCGAGCCACCTACCATGGTGGTTACATTGCAAGCTTGACTGATAGAATTGAGTCTGCACCGAAGATGGGAATAGACACATTACACTAGTGTCCAATCAAAGAAAGAAGTACATTCAATCTCTGTTTCTACTACGGTAAATATACCCACTGTATTTTCTCAGTAAAATCATTATTACTTAATTGTGTTTATTATCTAAAATTTTCGTTTGCCCTCGTAATTAAAGCCTTGTTCGTTTTATTAAGCTTCATCACTTTAACTCACCACATTTTGACCTATTCACTCATTTATGTTTCAGTGATGCTGGCAGTTGTAATGGGTTGAGTTCCATTTAACATCTGTTGATGGTGACACATATGAATATGGATTAGTTCCTAAACTTATTACTTCTTTTATTCATACTAGATTTTTAAGTAGCAAAGCATTTCATTGAGGTTTATTGTTCTATAAATGTGCCTTATTGATAAACTCTGTTCTGAATTTTTTTACAGTTTTCTGTTCTTGTGGACTGATTTTAAGTTAATCATCAGATGTCTACTGAGCTTGGCTTGCACTGTTCGTGACATTTAACATACGACATCAATCCGCTGGTAAGAAAAAATCGTTGATGTTACAAATATAGTTCCAATGTCAATTCTTTTGAGAGATTTTTTGAATTGCCTGTGTCAGACGTTTTTAAAATATCATTAGTATTTTGATTGGAAACTGGTCAGTAACTAGTGTGACGTGTCTATTCCTTTCTTTAGTGCAAATTGAATTCTATCAGTCAGGTATTGCAATGTGGCCATCATGCCACTAGGTGGTCTTCCGTCAAGGTGCACATTGATTTGATGATGTTAGATGATTGGAGGAAATCGGCAGGAAGCTCCACCTGAATAGCCTAGGTTTCGTGCTAGTTGGCACTCACCAATCAGCAGGGTGTATCTGCAACCTCGAAGGAATTCAAGTTCCTTCTGAGATTTAAACCCGCGGCGTCACCCAGTGAGTGCTGCAGTCAGAGACATTACTACTGAGCTATTCGGGCTCGCGGCTGACCTCCTTCTTGTAGGCTTCATGACATTTTCCTCCAACCATCTAACACCATCAAATCAATGTGTTCCGTTATGGTGAGCTACCTAGTGGCATGGTGGCCACATTGCAAACCTGACTGACTGATAGAATTCAGTCTGCACCAAAAGAGAGGACTAGACACGTCACACACTGGTTACTAACTAGTCTCCAATCAAAAATATCCAATACAGTCCTGCAGGAGGTCAATCGCGAGTCTGAATAGCTCAGTGGTAACGTCTCTGACTACAGCACTGAGTGACTCAGCTTTGAATATCAGAAGGGACATGAGTACCTTAGAGGTTACAGATACGCCTTGCCGACTGGTGAGTGCAAACTAGCTCGAAACCTAGGTCCAAGGCTGGGCTTACTGTCTATTGCCTCCAACTATCTAATATATAACATTAGTACTGTATGTAAATTAATAAATCTAAGTGTAGAATATATCCCATTAAGGTAGACTAAAATTCATCTGACCCATTGACTCAGGAGCAGACAAGTACACGCCTAAAAGTTGAAATTTGAATTACTACGAATAAGCAGAGTTTACAACAGTTTACTACAATACCTAAGAGAAATAAAAGTAGTAGAAGGCACAGAAATCGATTTATTTTCCTTGGATTTGATAAAAAAACCAATAAGCGATGTGAAAAGAAAACAAGTCGAACGCAGAAATCCAGTACAATTCTTCAGATGCACCTACCAAGAGTCTTTAAAGTTTTTTAAATAAAACCCTAGGACTTACTTTAATGCTTGTACATTCTTTCCTAAATATGCTAAATAACACAATAATTTTTAGAATACACTCTTCATATTTATAAGAATTTAAAGAGAGAAAATTGGTTCTTAACATATCAAAATCGACATATAAATGGATTAGGTTGTTGCCTCTCAGGGTGATATAAATAGTGTGTTTATTAAACGTTGTAGGGTCTCTTAATTATTTGAGTACTGGATATGAAGTAAGTCTTTTAGTTTAGTCACCAACAGTTTTGATCAGGTTTTGAGATACTTCTTAACCTTTTTATTTGAAATTTGAAACTGCTGCAGTTGTAGTTTTTAAAACGGAAATAAAAACAAAGGAGGTTAATATTTAACCTACTTGAGCAGTGCATGAACTTTCACAAGCAGAATTAGTTTTCTAATGTAGTGACAAGAGCTACCATACAATAATATATGAATTGAAAAGAACGACTCAAGAAAGGTAAAAACAACTGTTTATTTCATGGTTAACTGCGTCACAAATCAAAATCAGTTAAGGATCATAAAGTGGTCAGTAGACAGCTTTCATGTGTCACCTTTGAGATCTTCAGAAAAAAGTCAAAATCTATATACTGTCAGATTCTAACTGATCAAGTGGTGAGAGTTGTGATGCCACAACGTTAAATCAAAACTGGGCAAATATTTCGTTGCATCTCAGGACTCAGCAATAGTATATATTCACAGGTCTGCCGGAGGACAAATTAAGGCTATACAAATAAAACACAAATGTGCTTGGTTTGTAATTCCATGCTCTTGGTTCGAACTCCTGTAGAGCTCACTGACTCCCCTATGGTCCTATACGCAGATGACTTAAAAATTTGGAGACAGCTGAAGGGCAACAGTGATACGTTTACGTTGCAAGAGGACCTCGACAAATTGTCAGAGTGGTCCGTTGAATGGATGCTCCCGATCAATGTGGCAAAGTGTGCAACTATGCGCATTGGACAATCAAGCACAAGCTCCTATAAATTAGAGGGAATAACACATCCATCAGTTCAGACTCACTTGGACTTAGGTGTCATAGATAGCCACGACTTAAAACTACAGCACACTGTCGCGCGGTGGCTGCACGTAGTTTCAGGTCCGTATGGGCAGCTTGCAGAGCCTTTACTAGATTCACCAGAGATATGTTCACCTCCTTATATACATCTCTGGTGAGGTCAAGACTGAAAAACTACATCCAGGCCGCCATTCCTTGTCTGAAAGGGGAGACACACATTCTAGAAAGGGTTCAAAGGAATGCAACACGTATGGTTCTCGGCATGACTAACTTATCATACGAGGAAAGACTAGACAGTTTAAATCTCTTCTCCGTGTCATACCGTAAACAGAGAGGAGATTTAATCACAATGTTTAAAATTTTAAATAATGACTACAGATCTGACCTATTTTCTCTTCCCTTCTCACCAGGTAGTCGGAACACCCTAGAGGACATAGCAGGAGAGTTGAAAAGCCGAGAAGAAATCATATTGCTGTTGAGTACTGGTTCTCACACCGAGTCATAAACTCTTGGAACCGATTTCCAAAAGAAGAAGAAGAAGAAGTGGTGTGTGCAACCTCAACTGATTCATTCAAGAAGGGTTTGGACAACCACAGAAATCTGCTAGAAAAGGATTACCATAGGCTCCAAGCCTTCTGTCCTCAACCAATAAATCTGAAATCATGACTATATGGGTTTAATTAACTAAAGCGTATCAGATGTCATTTGTTTCCTAGAAAGCCATTGTAGTGTAATTGGTGTTGATTTGTTCTGAAAACACGCTTAGAAATCAAACACATTTACGTAAAACCATGATCTCAGTAGGAGTAGGAGTTAAACGGACTACTGAAAGATTTATGTTATTGTTACATACCAGCCGTCAAAATGTGCTTTAAAATATAATGGAAAGCGAAGTCTAATTATATAAATAAGTATGCATTCCCACTGCAAGAATCTCACTTAAAATGCATTCATCACTACTTTTTATGAAGAACTTTGGACTGAAAAAATTAACACCATGACTAAAAAACAATTTAATTATGGGCACTCAATTTATTGAAATGATAAGTAACACATGTATGTCTTCGTGATTGTCTTTAAAACGAGATTATTCGTGACTGTACTGATGTATAATACATTCCTATTCAAACTTTTCGATAAATATACTGCCGCAGTCTGATTAATAACTTACCGGGAGGCGGACGGTAACGTTCGGGCTCATAAGCTCCACTGAGTTCTATTAACGATTTTGATCGTTTTCGAGGTCTTGGTAGTCTGAAATATGGAATTGTCAATTAGTTTTATTTGAAGAAAGCCGAATGTCAAGTGTAAGCTGTCACAAAAAACATCATGCATTACTTTTCCCATACATTTATATTTAAACGAAGCAATATATAGCTGTATATTAACAAAGCCTCACCTGCTTGATTTCTTGGCCTTATTTACTTGCCCTGTCTTTTTAAGGTTTTTATGCACTTTTGTGACATTGTCACCTAGACTTTCACCGTCTGAAATGCAAACATCAGAATTTCCTGATAGAAATAGCTACTGACAATTACTTTTAATTGCTGCCTTTATAGACTGCCGATAAGAATTGGCCAAGTGAGATTCTTTCACAAGTTCTAAGAAAAGATAACATCTGATAGATTTTGGCTACCATTCAGAAACCTTTTAGTTTCATCACTGTAAACAACTTTTGTAACATTCCAAAACCCTCCTTGAGACATGTTTCTATCAGATACAACCTTGAGGCCTATAAAGGCTTAACTAAACAAAATTACTCCATACCCCAGTTTTAATATTTTCGGGCTGAATAAATTTCCATGCAACAACTTATAAGTAATAAGCAGTCATTTCTAACCCTTGATCGATTTTCATTTCGCGAGTGACCTAGGATGTCTCCGATGAGTAACGTCAGAAGTGGACTTCGCAAGTGTCTAACTCGTTCTAGTAGTTCATGCTGTCTTTCAATGTCCAATGTCCAGAAGCTTTCACAAGCTTTCTTATTTCTCCTATAAACATTCCTTATCTCTAGTAAGCTTTGTGTAGTTTGTTGCTTCATTAACCTATCCTAGCGCAGCTGCCTCCAGAGAAGTTTTGAGATTATTCGTTTGTAGTAAGCAGTGCATCAGCATCGTCCAGCTGCTGTGAATAGGGTTAATTCTTTCACCAGTTTGATGACCGGTGTGGCCAAAAAGGGGGTAATGTACATAGTGGAATGATATAGACTTAGACATAAAAAAGTAACCACTAAATGGATATATGCATGTATATAAATTAACCACTAAATAGTGTATGAATAGACAGGGTAATCAGGTCTTCCAGTAATCTGTCACAGTATTCCGAATGTTTTGTCCATCTCCGAATCTGTATTTCACTTGATTAAAGGCCCGTCCGTCACTAAGCTGTGGCTGATAAACATTTGCAGATTTACATAAAACTTTCCTCAAACCATTCAGGACCCCTGGTCAGTGGATGGAGCTACTGTGATTTAGTCACAGCACAGGTTCTGTATCTTCATGATGGCGCCGAGTAGTAGCTCGTTGTTTTCTGCTTCACAGGAAGGGATGATAGATTCTACCTAATAAATGAATGGTGTGGCACACAGTAAAGTGGCACCATATCGAGTATCGATTTTCACCGTACGGATTCAAGCTGCTTGTCGAAATTTAAGGCAGCCCCACGTCCTTCTTGTGACCATTTTACTCGTATAGATTCCAATGCCGATAGTTGCAAGGGTTAAGCGTGTCTCACCCAGTATTATTATTTCCAAATTCATGTAGGCTTACAGGTTTCTGAGTTCCGCTGTGTGTCCTCTCACACATTTCACATTGCTGCATAGGTAACTAATAATGAGACTTACAATCTCGCCTCGTAAGGAGGGTAGGTTAACGCAAAGTGGCATGTTGTCTGATGCGTTCATGTTCGAACTAGTTTGCGGATTCCCATGGCACCCAACGATTATCTATTTTTCCAGAAATTCTGCTTAGACGGTCGCGTCACATTGGCTGCTTTCTTCTCCAGTGTCATGTCATCGTTGTGTCACTGAGGCATTAGGACGCATTATCACCTCAACACGCAGCTTCCTTGAGGTTTGAAATTGATTTTAAAGAACCGAATATGTGCGTCGATGGCACAGCGGTAGGATGCTTGTCGAAAACACAGGCAGTTCGAGGTTCGATCACCTGCCGACACACTCCTTTACGTCGCTAAGCCAGTAGTAAGGCTGGTGAAGAGGATAGGTTGTGCATGAAGCCTACAACCCATCCTGTGGAAATAAATACAACTGCTATCGAAAATTCAACCCTCTAGCGTTAAGCCCTATGTTCCACTGGGAACGTAAAGGAATAGAAAAAATGTCTCCGCTAACCTTATCGTTTATCTGAGACCATTTTTGGAGAACCATCGTCAGTTGCTCGACGGATCTGGATTTAACAGATAGTAGATGTGATGGGCTGGCCGAATTGAGGTGAATGGGGCGATGCAGTCCACAAACAGGGCTATTTCAAGAGGCAGCCACCCCACCCCTGTACAATCTGTGTGTATTTTCCTTCAAAGAGTGCCCACTGATACCTTTTGAACATCTTTTTTACCATAGAGGTATAGGGCACTAGTTCTGGTGGCTTCCAAGCCACTTGATTACCTGCCAGTGACCTGTTCCTGCGTATTCGTGTGCTAAAATTTCTGCTCACAACCAGTGTGCTGAGAGCTGTCCGCTAGCCAAAACTGGTAGACAGCAATGTACGTCTATGTTTGCGTCCCACATCTTGGTCATGAGAAAAAGCAAGAACAAAGCCTAACCTTGAGGAACTCAACAACCAATCAAGCAGACTTTGCGTGGGTGGATAAGATTCGCATATAAACACCGAACTGACTAAGATGCAGCAGCAAAGAGATAGTAGAATAATCTTTAGCAGGGAAACAACCGATCAGAAGATATTGCTTCTCTGCTAAAAATAACGCTTATAATAATGCACACAAATATTTATAAATATCTGTTGATTTTCTCAGTGAGCAATCTGTTGCTTGGTACTTGTCTTCTGTCATTACACCAGGACTTTGAAAAGCAACAATATATTCATACGATCTTTAATGGACTCGGTTTGACCATCAGGGGTGGGTGATTTGTTCATGATGCCGTAGCATCCTTGTACAGCCTACACAGCTTTACAGGCTGGATGTTAAGCCCAAGCCCGGCAAACAAATCAGACTACCCTAATTGATCAAACAGTTCTTATAGACTATCTATATGCCCTGACATGGCGAAACAGAATAAGAAAATTTGATTGACATACTTCAGTCTTGGGTCAAATAATTCGCTGCTTATCTTCGTTTCTAAGACCGGAAACCACAAATTTTAGCATCCTACGATATTGTAGCTCACTGCAGAGTTCATGTTTGCTTATGGATTCAGACTGGTCTTTTGCAGGATTAAAACTAATTGCTACCAGCGTCAAGGCATTTGTGGTGTTTTTTTGAGTAGAGCCTTTATTTTTTACAGCTTCTTGTATCTTTGGTCTCACAGGGTTTTTCTTTGTAGCGGTAAATAATTCCCCAAAATTATTGACCACAGCAATCACTCATCATTGGATGCTGACCACCGCTGTTTAAGTCGACTTGTTTAGCTGAAGGCTTCCGGTCAAGCATCCCCGTCATTTGGTACCCCGTCGTGTCACGTACACGATCACTAGCCAGCTAAGCGTTCGTCTGACGGCTTGTTTTGGTCCCGAAATATATCACGTAGTTTGGACGATCAAATATTGGCTTTTGATTTGTCTTTGGTACGCGCGAATAAATTAGTTAGAAGTTGCTGAACAAGATATCCGTTAACCTCTAAACCTTCGTATCCTAGTGAGCTGGAGAACGTCTGTAGCAACAGAAGACAAGGGCAAGGAAAAAATGGTTTATTAAGGAAATCTACACATATTTATATATTTTCATGTACATATTATAGATTACTGTTAGCAGAAAAACACAGTCCCCTGATTGGTTATTTTTCACAGAAAGTTGAACTTGGATCTCTATGTGACTGTTTCTTGAATGTCTGATCATCTATATGTTAACTGTATCCGCCTACGCAAATGTTTTCTTCTCAATTTTCTTACTACCGATTTTGTGGACATACACATCTACGCAAATTACTATCCACCAATTTCGACTAACAGCCAGCTGTCAACACACCTCTTTCCTGGCAGTGTGTTGTTTTGTTTTCCAACAAATCTTCGAGCGAAAATGTATCAAGACAACAGTGCCAACATATACAACAGAGCAACGGTGTGGTGATTGACAATTTCTATCTCTGTACTGTTTAAATACTTACTGTTGATTGTTAATATTGTAGTACCCCTATACCAACTGTAAACATGCTTTTTAATCTAATTTGTATACTTGTATTATATGTGTATACAGACCGATTTTATATGTACTTCGCAAATATTTGTCAATTTATTTTTGAATATTACCTTGACACAATTTCGAAATTTGACTACTGCTATAATACACATTCGTGCTCCTCGCAAGTGCCTTTTGATTTACGTTGTGGGCGCCGAGTAGCCACAACGTCTGCGCACATTAATAAGAACGAAGAAATACTAGAATATATGTGTACGGCAGTTTAGTCAGACAACGCACGCAATAAATTGGTGAGCCCGACGACAAATTTCGACAGCGACGACAAATTGGTGTCCTCGACGATAACTTGTTCACTGCGACGATAACATGTTGACTCCGACGACAACTTGTGCACCACGACGCATCATTACACTTGCTGGATTATTTATACCTTAACGTTATCGGATCTATATATATATCCATATATTAGACATTTCGAACTCATTCTTGTGCTTTCTCATCGCACAACTTGCAGTAATCTGTGGTAAGCATCTGCATTGCATGTTTTTCTGTTTTGCCATATTCTTAGTGTGCATTATTCTTTCTATTTTGTTACTGTTAAACCATTTTTCTACGAATTGCAACATGTTTTCCAATACCCCTAATAACTTAGAGCTGGGATCTCTTAGTACTATTTCTCTTACTGTACCAGTTTTTAATCCTAGAGACCCCCATCTTTGGTTTGCACGAGTGGAACATTATTTCACTACCAATAAGCTAACGTCACAGACGGCTAAATTCGGCATTTTGAGCACAGTAATACCAGACGAAATCGCCGAACAGGTTCGACAACATATAGTTCAACCCAGCACAGACGCTCCTTACGACAAGTTAAAGGAAGAGGTACTTCGATGCCCTTCACTTTCTGATAGGCAAACACTCGATCGTTTGTTAAGCAATGTAGAGCTAGGGGATAAAACCCCATCGCAACTCATGAGGCACATGCAAAGCCTAGTAGCAGGGAGAGATATCGGTAAATGTCTCTTTTACCAAATTTGGTTACGACGACTTCCTGGGCACATTGAGCAAGTTCTTGCTTTCGGAGACGACGACTGTCAGTCACGTCTCGTAAACCGTTAATGTCCAGCTCTTGCTACGCTCGGGCTCGCGCTGTTCCTTGAAGTTTCTCAGAAACACTTAGTAATAACGGACGAGAAAACCAAAACACCGATTGTTGACTCGAGGATTCTTTATTGTTACACCAACATATAAAAAATATTTCCATTAAGGTCTGTGAACAAATAATACAATAATAAATCACAATTTTACTTCTGACGGTTGACTGCTGACTTCTTTCTGAACAGCGACCGATGAGACGATGACTGTCGTATTGATG